GTGAGTAGTGTGCATCTTGTATACCATCCTCAGTTTACTCTCTATATCTACTTCAATGTGTGAGTAGTGTGCATCTTGTATACCAGCCTCACTTTACTCTCTATATCTACTTCAATGTGTGAGTAGTGTGCATCTTGAATACCAGCCTCACTTTACTCTCTATATATCTACTTCAATGTGTGAGTTGTGTAATCTTGTATACCAGCCTCACTTTACTCTCTATATCTATTTCAATGTGTGAGTAGTGTTCATCTTGTATACCAGCCTCACTTTACTCTCCATATCTACTTCAATGTGTGAGTAGTGTGCATCTTGTATACCAGCCTCACTTTACTCTCCATATCTACTTCAATGTGTGAGTAGTGTGCATCTTGTATACCAGCCTCACTTTACTCTCTATATCTACTTCAATGTGTGAGTAGTGTGCATCTTGTATACCAGCTTCACTTTACTCTCTATATCTACTTCAATGTGTGAGTAGTATGCATCTTGTATACCAGCTTCACTTTACTCTCTAAATCTACTTCAATGTGTCAGTAGTGTGCATCTTGTATACCAGCTTCACTCTACTCTCAATATCTACTTTAGTGTATGAGGAGTGTGCATCTTGCATACAAGGTTCATTCTACTCTATTTATGTACTTCAGTGTATGAGGAGTGTGTCTTGCATACCAACTTTAGTATACTCTCTGTATATATTTCAGTGTATGAGGAGTATGCATCTTACGTACCAAATTCACTCTACTCTCAATATTTACTTTAGTGTATGAGGAGTGTGCATCTTGCATACAAGGTTCACTTCACTCTCTACATCTATTTCAATGTATGAGGAGTATGCATCTTGCATACCAGCTTCACTCTACCCTAATTATCTACTTCAGTGTATGAGGAGCATGCATCTTGCATACCAGCTTCACTCCACTCTCTACATCTACTTCAGTGTATGAAGAGTATGCATCTTGTAGTATACCAGCCTCACTTTCCTACTTAATGTGTGAGTAGTGTGCATCTTGTATACCAGCCTCACTTTACTCTCTATATCTACTTCAGTGTATCAGTAGTGTGCATCTTGTATACCAGCCTCACTTTACTCTCTATATCTACTTCAGTGTATCAGTAGTGTGCATCTTGTATACCAGCCTCACTTTACTCTCCATATCTACTTCAATGTGTGAGTAGTGTGCATCTTGTATACCAGCCTCACTTTACTCTCTATATCTACTTCAGTGTATCAGTAGTGTGCATCTTGTATCTCAGCTTCACCATATTCTCTATCTACTTCAATGATCCCTCTCAGAGTAATAAGGAGAGAGAATGTCATAATTCACATATTAATATTTTCAAATTGCAATATGGGCCAGGAAATGTCAAACATGACAGGAAGTCACTTCTTGTTGTAAACTGTTTAGTTGACGAAACGGAATACCCCGAAATTATCACATAAATAATTTGAGATCAGCATGTCGTGCAATTTAGGAAATTAATGATAATATCTATATGAAATACACATAACTATCGATTTTTCATGAGACAACTACGGTGTTTTCATTAACATTTCGTTTTTGACATTGGAAATGATATTGTTTTATAAGCACAAGAACTTTTTGATATTTGAGAACACAAGTATATAGTTAGGGCTCGAGTGACCTATTCTTTAATTAAATCATAATGTGAAAACTGTGTTATTCCTTGTGTATTGTGGAAAGGTTGTGCTGTTGGTTGATCTCCTTGTATGTGACGAATATAGACATTTCCAAACCTTTAGAAAAACAATTTACGTCTCACATGCCTAGTGGATATACCATACTTTCATTGTATATGCTTAAATTATAATAAAAAATTTAATGAAACAGTTGATTTTGTTTTGTATTTTTGCTGTGTCACACGTGCTTAAAACTCATTTGTTTCAATCATTTAAATTTTTTATGACATTTGCACATACCGTGTGCTGTCGAAATATGCAGCTCAATTTTCAGTGTGTTTTTTTAGCACTTTTCTGTTTAAAATGCTTTTTATTGGCTAATTTTTGAAAATAAAAATAATTGAATACCATTTCAAGTAAACATTCGAAATTTTTATCTGGATAATTAAGTTACAATATTTTCAACGTTTTGTATAATGATTAACGAATGAGAATTTCTTATTGTTTTTGTTTAGAAATAAAAATTTTATAAATATTAAGTAAAGGTGAAGATTACAATTTCTTTATTCATTCTTATAATATTATCTCTCAAATGTTTGGGAGGATTAAATAACCTATTTGACTTTCTAGTAGTGTATTCCCATGTCAATGGTTGAAAATTGAAAATTATTGTTACGTTGTATGAATGCATTCTGAAAATGGAAGTTGATTTAATGTATGCCTATGTTTAATGTTCGCTCAGAACTACTTAATTTAGAACGATCGTCTGGAGTAAAGGCAGCTATTCAACTCCACTCATCACCAACTAACTCTTGGACTAATCTTTAGCAACGAATAATGGGATTAACTATCACATTATGACGTTCCCACAGCTTGTAAATTTAATCAGTGGTGGCATTATGGCTTCCAAATCATCAAAATACAGCAAGACACAAATAAACTTTTGTACAGAAGTACAGGGAATTTCATTAAAAAATTATACTTCGATACTATTTTAAGTAAACAAATTGAGAACCTGAACCTGAAAAATCATAATAAACACTTACTTAAGAAATCCTTGGCGGGTGATGATTTGTGTTTCGAAAGCTAGATCTTATAAAGCTGGCTTTTTAATAGGTGCTTTTGTAGTGTAATTGTAAAAGAGATGACACAAAAATTATTTAAAATACTAGAGATTGTTTTGACAATACGTGTCTAAACACAGAAATCACTTTAAAATACTGCTAAGAAATAATCAATAGATAAATACAACAAACAAACAAATTAAAGAGCTCGCACCGGTAAAACATCGGGTTTCGAGACTCGTGGTGGGTAAAGCACAGATAGTTCATTGTGTAGCTTTGTGTTTAACAATAAATATAGAATTAAAACAATACTCCAGCACCGATCTATTCAAAATTAGCCAATTCGATATGCTAAGTTTAAACATTAAATCATCAATGTTTGTAGCTTGAATTTTTGATATCAATTCACTAATCCTACTTTTTGTAAAGACAAATTTCAAGTAACGTGGTATTTTAAATTAGTAATACCATTTAATTTGTTCTCAATTTTACTTAAAAGAATATCGAAATATAATTTCTTAATTAAATTCCCTGTACTCCGGTACAAAAGTTTATTTGTGTCTTGTTGTATTTTTATGACTTGACAGCCATTATCCTGCCGCTGTTTAAATTTACAAGCTGTGGGAACGTCATAATGTGACAGTATATAGAACAAATGGCCTAATGTTTCTTCTAAAAAGAAAATTTACATCTTATCCTTTAAAGATATTTTCTACAATGTTGTACGTACACTGTCCAGTGCCCTCTATTAAGAAACTAAAAGTAATGTAACAGATTAATACATCACCAAACTATTACTATACGACGCTTTTTAAGCAATCGAACCTTCTTTTTAATATAAATGGGTTTTTTTATTAATCTTAGACCAAAATATTAGATAAGGAGACATCTCGCACAATTAAGTAAACAGTATAGTTTCCAAATAAAATAACAGTTCTTTTCATCCTTTACAAATGTTTACAATATTTTTGTGCATTATCTTTCCGAAATATAAACAAAATAAAGTAGTTTATAATAAATAAAACAAATCTGATTCTTTATAAATTATCTAAAGTTCGGTTACTGCTTACAAATTCAAGTTTGTTACTTACATTTTTCAATTAGCTATTGAACATATAATTCAATTTCACACAAAGCTATTCGAGGTTTATCTGCGCTAGCCGTCTCTAATTTCCAAGTTACAGACTAGAGGGAAGGCAACTAGGCAGCACCAAGTCGTAGGCTACTCTAATCGAATAGCGAGATTTTACCGCCAATTTTGTAACGTAAGGCCCGAAAGTGCGGAGTGCGATTTCCTTCTTGGCAGTAATGTGGCGCAAACCTCGAAACCGCAGTATGGCATGCCCTCTGGCCGAACATATAACAATAGCATTATTTTATTCTTTATTTGCTTTATTGTTTGTTTGTTTGTAGTTATGTACAAAGCTACACAGTGGGCTATTTGTGCTCTGCCCACCACGGGTATCGAAACCCGGTTTCTAGCGTTGTAATTCTGAAAACATACCGCTGTGCCACTGGGGGACTATTTGCTTTAAGGGTAACTTCTATTTTTCCAAAGGGTATGTTATTATCAAATATATCAATATTTTGATAATTTTGTAAATCAAGTGGTCGATAATGGGTTGCTATCTAGTATTTTCATTAGTTTAATGTTCTTTCGTTTTTGAAACAAACCTTTGATCGGACGAAGCTAATTAGTTACAATTTAGTTATTTTCGCATATAGCCTCAAAAATTATCAACTCTTGACCTCTTTAGAAAAAAAAATACGCCTAGCAAAACGTCAAAACAAAGCTGAAAAGTTATTAAAATCCTTTATTTTTAACTGAGTAATTACACCAATATTTTTAATTTGAACGCTATTTACGTCAGTTGTTTCAAGGACACTATACCGTAAGATGTTAAAATATAAGTCCTTTCAAAGAATCACTTCTGATAAAATTGTGATATGGATACATTATTGTTATAACCATTTCCTAATTTAAAAAGTGAATATATATATTCAGGTTTATATACACACTTTTTTAATTTCAGTACAGGTTGCCTGTACTTAAACGTTCTACCTGAACCCTAGTAACCCCAGCTATGAAGAACAATTAAATCCTGTCAGAACTAGTGTAAACGTGTCT